ACACCCCCTTCACTCGAACAGTGGATGATGATTGGTGAAATAACGGTATAGAAGCCGGTTATAACGAAGATCCTTTCTTTTTTGCGTTAAATGTTCGAGTGAGGGGGGTGTTCGAGCTGTGGCTAGGGAAGTCGTCTACATGGCAACCAGCCCACCCACCAAAATCTACGGCGCAGTAAAAAGGTCCCATGATCCATGAATTGAAGAGAGGGAGGGGGCCGAAGGCCCCCGTTGAAGCCCCCAAAGTTTAGAGGGAGGTGGATGGAGGTAGATGGGGCCAAAGGCCCCGTTGAAGCTCCCCACGTAATTGTAGAGGGGGGGGCTTGATGTTCAACTCGCGGTCGCGAGGCCGTGGAACCCCTACTCTTTATTTCACGACGTTTCCGGACCGGACTGGGTCTGCATGAGCCCACATGGAGGCGCATGAGCCCGCATATGCACGACATGCCAGTGCTATACTCTAGACTAGAAATTGTAATTATTTCCGCCTCCGTCTGCAATACAAGCTTCTATTCTACGGGGCATCGACATGATATGTCTATTGATTCTTTCAACTGTGTATTCTTTCCACTCATCTTCAATGACAGCCCGGATCCCTGCTGCAGTAAAATTCCAACCTAACTTTACTTTAATACTGTCCTTCATCTCATTCCAGATTGCCTCAATAGGATTCAAATCAGGGGAATTGGCCGGCCATTCTAGCCTATTCAGCCCTGCACGACGCCTAAAGATTGTCTGATATTGGTGTTTATGTGCAGGTGCATTGTCCTCCATTATAATAACATTTGGGTTAGTTGTTTCTTTGGCGAGTAGGGCAAGAGGAAAGAGAAGGGGGTACATAATTCGCTCCCTATAAATATACCAATCGATACCACCCTTCCTATTTTTTTTCCTTTCTAATAATTGGGGCAGAATCCCGGGCTCAATAGGGTTGATAACTTCACGCTCATATTCCGCTTGTAACAATGTAAGGGCTAAGGCTTGCTCACGGGGAGTCTCATATGGCGTTTTGTAGATATGGTAAGGTAGCTCTGATCCTACAAGAACTGTTAATACAGACACAGACACTGGCTTAATTCCGAGCCATACCTGAATATCCGTAGAGGATAGCGCCCCAAAACATGACAGTAGAACCCCCAAGAAACTTTCGGTTCATATTCCGTGGTACAAATTTCTCCCCTACGCGTCTCAATACTCCTCTTACTCTACGTTCCCGTAGATTGCTTGTTTCAAAGTAGCTCTCATCCGTGAATATAATGTCCCTCCAGTCCTGATGTCGATACCGTAGGCAGAATGCAAGCCTATTTGCCTTATGTATCTCGTTCATCAATGGCTTTTTTGTAGGCTTGCAGCGGTGTATACCATCGGCAGCTAGTGTTTTCTTGATTGTGTTGATGCATACATTCAGTCCGGCTATTCTAGAATTAATACCGTGACCAATATATCATTATCAGGCTTTATACTAGTAGGTACGATACCTTCAGCAGCCAATTCGCGTAGTGGCATCCGGCAATGAGTAGCATCAGAGAGTGTGATTGCTATTAATCTCCTCTCTTCTTCCGCTGTCAGGACTTTATTGCGGCCTTTCTTTGAAGTGGGATCGGGGGCAAGATTTTGCTGTGAGCAAAGGTCGGGGTCTCCAGTCTCCAATGATCTCTGCTTGGCTTTATTGATGAGGTCCGAACAGGTAGATTTGGGTACTCCTGTTAGGGCAACAATCTCCTTCAATTTCATTTTCCTATCACCTGTAAGTGCCGCATATCCAAGGACTTGGCCCCGCTTACTAGCTGATGTTGTTGTCCCTTTTTTTTGGATGAACGGAATCATGTTGATGTTACTGGGACTCGGAGTATCGTGATCAGTATACTCGTAGAGTATATCATCACACCTCAACTGACAGCACACGCGACCTCACTGCCTCCCATTGGCTCATGCACCTCCCTGTGGGTTCATGCGCCTCCCTGTGGGCTCATGCAGACCCAGTCCGGTCCGGAAACGTCGTGAAATAAAGAGTAGTAATCAGCTCCGCTGATACTCTCAATATTCATTATGGGGGTTCTGCGCTCTCCAACCAGATCTGCAGATACTATATGTGTTGAAATACATATTTTTTTAAAAACTCGTAATACCTACATCGTATTATATTATACGTGTGTGACTTTACTCTGTTTCCCTGCTCAGCGGGATACAAATATTCCTTGGCTGCAGGCTAGCTCGACAGCCAGTATTTACTCGTTATTTTTTGGCGTTTCCGCCATGGGTCTGCATACGGGCATAACAACCATATTTTGGTGGTATGCAGACCCAGTCCAGTCGATCCGGAAACGCCAAAAATAACGAATAAAAGGTTGTCACATTACCCCTCCTTTCCGTCATAAAAAGAAATGAAAATTCTTCTTTTCATCATGCTTGATCTGATTGACCTATGTATTGTACTCGTCTATTCATAGCGTTTCCGAACACGACCAATATTGCATGACATACAAAAAGGTGGATTTGGCGCTTTTTTATATGGTATGCAATAGCAGTCGTGTCCGGAAACGTCATGAATTTACGAGTACATGTGTCCCTAGGCAACTGCCAAATCTCGTTATTCGGAGGGTTGCCAAACCACCTGCTAAACTGCATTTAGTTTAGATCCTGCAGAAGAGGGCTGGTTTCTTGAAGATCGCTTCCTCTAAAGGTGAAGACCCTCAGCTTTTTGCCTTGGCAACCCTCCGAATAACTCGAGATTTGGCGGTACACACATACCCTATTTCAGGCTTCAATTGGTTCACAACGGGGGGAAATAGTTGCGGGCGCTCTAACCAATTTTTCGAACTTGGGCCAGGCTACAGTCTTTTCAAAGCCCAGAACAGCATGGTAGGTTACTACCGCCATAACTCGAAAAATTGGCTACTCTGGAATATGGTCTACAGTTCTCCCATTGGGTGGACAAGATCGATATATAGTGGACCCAAGGGCGCAGGAAACTAGTATGGGGAAATTAAACGGTCATGTGGTGCGTATATGAGATATTGAGTAAGGTAAAAAAAAAAAAAAAAAAAAAACTGCATGTAAATAATATCTCAAAAGAAAAGCTGGGAGGTGCTTGGGATAAGGGTATCGTCTTTAGAAGATTGGTAACTTGATTGATGGGGTTTGACTAGCTCATCCTTTCGTCCGCCAATCTGATATTATAATCCGAGTCTTTTGCTAGCGCTTCGAACAGGCAGCAGTGTGAAACAGGCATGATCCGCTTGAGTAGTCCGCGAAATGTGCAAGGATTACGTTTAAATTTCAGCGTTCTCTGGAAGCCTAGATTTGATCAATCATTATCTGTCTAGATGAGGAGTGCCAGCAAGAGTCTGTACACTGGATCATAGTCGGCTTCTCGCAAATGATCATATACATTTGAAGAGCGTACGTTCCAAGTACTATTATCGCAACATCACGTAAACAAGTGCCAGTGCGGAATACCACATACTGCATACGTGTAATTATTGGACTAACTACATCATAATCCAGGGCCGAAGAGGTTTCCATAAACGTACCTGCTTGTATCCTGTTTTGATTTGAACCTTTCTGCACAACGGAGTGCGATCGACAACAAAAACAGTCTGGGAACGAGACTACATGTAAGTACTCCACATACTTGTAGTTTCTAACGTTTCCGAACTGGACTGGGTCTGTATACCACTAAAATCTGGTTATCACGCACGATTTATGTTCATATGCAGATTCAGTCCAGTTCGGAAACATAAAAGATCTGCGGGTACACGATGGTTCATCTAGGCAGTGTAACATGGGACTAACACCAACTTCCGATCCATAAGCACATAACCCAGGGTCAATCATGCCAAGCTTATCCCAGGATATTCCGACAGAACGGATTGGAGGGCGCGCGACACCAGTGATATTATAAGCGAATACCTCCTTCCATGAAGAGCCTCATCTTCAGAGCCAATAATATCGGGGAACAATAGCCGGTGTGGCAGATTAGGTATTTCCGCGCGCTAAAGGGCAAGAAAGTGTTGTTTGTCAAGGTATAAGCCACCCTGCGAGTCGCTGATCTCGCACCATCGTTATCAACCTGAAATTCCCATTGGTAAGAATTCAAGAGAATTGAGGCTCTAGCTCTTCTTCGAGTGATACCTACATATGTAATCGATACTCTACATATAGTACCAGTATGCCATTCAAATTGACGCACCAAAGTGAATCGAGTCATACATACATAATATTATAATGCGCTCTATGTAGGGTAAATCATGCAGTGGAGAGCCGTAATCGTAAAATAGTACCATGCTGCGCAGGCTTCGATCCGGTCTTCAATTTCTACACTACTATCTCCTCTGCTTGAAGACCCAGTACTTTTTCTGACGTTTTTGATGCAGACACCAACCAAGCTCCCCAACCACATTTCTTTATATATGCCTTGTGAGGGAATAGGTTCTCGTCGCGCGCGTAGGGCCTCGACATAATCATCGGTAGCTGAGGCTCGTCCCTTAGCAGGTGAAGTCTAGTCGAATTTCGGAGAAGCTCTCAATACATGTAGTTTAGTTGGCGTATACGTAATTAATCAAACCGTGTATGGATGTCTGTTTTTCAAGAAGTGTTACTCTGCTCGGTTTGCACTGGAGTAGGTACAGTGAGATCCTTTACCTACGATCGAGTGTATTCATCTTCATCATAAAATACAGAGCATCTATCCGCAAAGACTTGATTGGCGTATCTCTTGAATATCAGCTTGTGGAGGCTTCACAATTTGCCTATCCCTTGAATATCAGCTTATGGAGGCCCTGTTGATTGGCCTATGTATGATCCCTGGCCGGATCCTAGAATCCTCATGCATGATCATAAGGCTAGATAGGTTCTCCAACTGTCACATTCGTAGATACATGAAATCTCTAAGCTGTTGATGAGGCTCTCCGTACGCGTGTGGATGCTACAGCTAGAATTTAATGTGTCGGGTGTTGTTGCTTTTTATTTACTACTCTTCTTGATTTGCTTACAGCTGGATGTCGATTGGTCTATAGACTGGATCATTGCCGGTCCAGGTTGATACCGCACATATTGCGCTGTCCAGTTATAGCAGCGGGAATGTATTAAATTGAGGCTCTGCTAGCTAGATATCTCACTGTCACCCACCCCATCGTACTAGACCACCTGTTCCTTCGCTCCTCCGTTCTTACCGATTTACGTACTAGTAACGCAAACTAAGCTGCCAGTCTGAATACTTGAGATTCGTCGCCATCAATAAAGATACAACTAGATATTGTGAATCTAGCTAGAGGTACGGAGATGATCCCTATATATATATACCATTCATGTAAAACATTCATCGCTCTAGGCCCGGGCGTTGAAGTTAAAATACGCGCAATAAATAGTCAAGGTTAACCTGTCCTGATTCCCTCATATAGTAGCGAGATCGATCCAAATCGCAGCGCCCCGGCCCCGCTCTCTCCGGCTCCAATTCGCGGGGGAGGATGTTGTTATCCATCACCACCTCTTAAATCACATTTCGCAACGCGGCCAAACACCCCTCGACAAACTAAATTCTAAGATCAAGGGAATACGGGTTTGACTAACTGTATCCGAGGAACTTTCAGATTTCAGGATCAGTGTCCTGCGGTCTAGGATTTGCGCAAAAATGTACTGATGCCAGAACCCCGTACGGCCTACACGTAACACTAAATGCAAGGTGCGTTCGTTAGGGCCTATGGGAGAGGAAGGTCTGCAAGGCAGATTTTCCAAGGATGCTATTGAATAGCCAAACCTGACTCTTGAGGCATGCCTCACTGTACTCTTATATAGAGGGTTGGTAGGCACTAGCTTCCCAACGGTTCCTACGACTCCCATATTCAAAGGAATGATGCCTGCCCGTCTATCTTCTCAAAAATACCATAACGATCCCGGATCATCAGTTTCGAGCTTTTCTGTAAATTCCTCTTTCCTTTTCAATATTCTTCATGCTTAGCAATATATCACTTCACAGGTTTTGCACCAAAATCTTATTACAACATCAGAATCCCGATATATTTCAGCAATATCAACCACACATTATTAAACTCTGTTGTTTTAATGTATAATGATCTCTATACCAAGGTGCAGACTCTCAAACCCTGCGGGACCTTTCTGACGTCTCTCATTAAGGCATGTTCGAAACCTGGTCTCAAGAGATAAGAGAGATCCCTCGAAGTGGAGCTCTCGTGGTCCATTTGATGCGTATTCTTCCCCTATTTCTCTTCTATTCTTTAGACTTTAAATAATATGGCGCAAGAGGGAGTAGAGGGCGAACTTGTCAACCCTGTACACACCAGTTCAGTCAATTCTTTCATTGGCTCCGGGAAGCAAACATTGTAGAGCCTCACCTTTAACTCAACTTTATAGCTGTAAGAGCTACAATACTGAACTGGTGTGAACAGGGATTACATACGGTAGATACACGCACCCCCGAAGGTGAGACTTTGGCAGCATCTTTAAATATTACCGCTGAAGCAGCTAGTAGTCACTGATCTTGTTACAGTGTGGGATAAATTAAAGGTATTTATCCCCAAAACTCCTCTCAATACAAAATCTTACTCGGTATCATAGGACATAAACCTGCCTAGTTTACTTTGAAATCCAAGCGAGATGAGACGAAGCCAAGCCCGAGCATTAATCCCGAACACCAGTACCGAACATCAATCCCGAACATCAATCCCGAACGCCAAGCCCGAAGCCGTTGCAAGAGCTCCGATGTTGCTTATAAATCACCATTACATGAACTTGACCAGTAAAGGCACATCAACGAGCCAATCCACAGATTCACCAATCGCCTATTATAACATTTGGCATCGAGGTGAAACTTAGTTTGGCAAGGAATGTACTCGGGTAGGTATGAAGAACCTGACCGTCGCTGATTCGCCCGTATTTTTTGCTAACTACAAATTGAATCCCTGCTTGCATATTTCATGTTCGGGTTCTTCTTGCCTGCCCCGAGTATTAGATCCCGTGGTTATAATTTGAACACGTATGACCCTTTGCTGAGACTGAGCTCATACATACAGTCGCAACTCGATATGCCGGAACTCAATACACCGGATCCCTTGCTGTCCCGTACGAGATCCTCTGAGAATATTATTTTTCCTACTGCAAAATCAATTTGCTATCCCGGATTTTTTGCTATCCCGTACGAAATCCTTAGAATCTTGGCAATCCGGCATATCGAGTTGCAACTGTAGTCATCATTACACGCCAGCATCGAGCCTATTGGCATCATCCGCATGGAAGACGGCTTGAAGTTCACATATTACACAGCTACGACCGTGGCTACATGTATTCGACAGGATACTTCCATAGGTACTGCAGACTTCGTATCTGATACGATCAGATGATAATGTATCCACACGTCGTATTAATTATCAAATTGTTCAGATATAATCTTCCTTGGTGCTATACAGCAAAGGCACCCTTATATAACCTCTTACTATTGACAGGAATATATGTTTTTCATCGGGCAACGAATTAATAATCTATATTTTCATCCGACAAGTAAAGCCAAACAGGGTTCGGGCACTGGCAATCGCGTTTTTTTAAGGTTCAAACTATACCGGCTTTAAATGCGGTCGATAAACTTGTTTTCACTCGGGCATGAGGCGCTCCACTACTTGCTTCACAGAATTACCTATATAATCACCAGGATTTGACATCCATACTAGGGTTTGATATCGTTACTAGGATTCGACACCTTATTACCGAGTTCCTCCCGCATCACGGCGAATCACGCTGGACGTATCCAAGCCAGTAGAAGAATTCGATAGCCCATCCTTGCAATTACAGAACACAGCAACAACTGACTCGGTATTTCACTTCATGCTTGAGAACTGATATTAGTCGCTGAGTTTAGACTGCGATTACTAAGTCCTCTACGGCTTGCACCGATAGTAGTGACATGGTCAAAAAACCATAGGATAGAAGTGCTCAAGACTGAGTTTGTTGAGATACTTTATGGGCAAGAATACTATTTGAATATACAAGAGGTTGAAAAGCGGCTGCCCCCTCTAAGAACGACATGATGGGCTCTTTCCTATGGTCCAAGAAGTTGAGACTCGACCAAGCTCAGTTTCCAGGAGGAGCGGTCGTCCCTTGTATATATTTGACCAAAACGCCCCATATTTCTCTCTATCCATCATTCCCGATTACATTGTTTGCTACCGCACATTGAAACGATGAGTCTTCACAACGATTCCTCCATACACCCTAACCGTGCTAGCATTGCTTGTAATGTCAGTGCACAAACCTCCCCTCTAGACGACCATATGTGCATCTCCGCTTCACACAAGACAGCAACAACCTCTCAGGAGGAATCTACTGTCGCGTACCTTCATGGCGCCAATGGAACTGAGCTTTCAATTCATCTCTACAAGTAAGCACTAATATTCCCAAATCAAACCTTTACATATAGCTCATAAACAACAACTCTACATAGCTTACAACACCGTTGCACGGCGTGCGCATATGCCTTCAATAGGCACTCAGAACAGAATGAGCAGTGGATAGGAAAGTCCGAGGGGTACCCGCAATCGGAGATTCCCCGTAGTTGCAGGTAGATTCATCTCCAAAATTGTTGTTTAAGTAGCCCAGGCTAAACCTTTATTATCAAAAGCGGTGAACGATCACAATTTGAACCCTTCGACCCACGTTTTTCGAACTCGGTGCTGGCAGATGAATATGATCAACTAGACCGTTGGGTCGACCCTTTGTGTTGTAGCCGCAACGATGAAGTTGTCCCAGCGCTCTATAGACCTCATACCGCAATCGGTGAGCCGCAATCCAGCTCCTCTCCTCCAGTTAGTCCGAACCGTTCTCGTAGTAGGCCAACCCAATCTGGTAAGCCAGATGTCTTTCAGATCTTGCCGGGTTATCATGGAGAGAGAAATGATGAAGGTCTTTTTGAGTGTTTTGGAGATTGCCGCAAGCATCGCTTTGGCTCTCGTGGGTTTAAAAGAAGAAGCAACCTCCTCGTCCATCTCAGGAGTTGTCATGGACAGAAAATACTGAAATATGATCGTGAAGAGAGCATGAAAATCAGAACCATGTACAAACAAATGTTGTTGGCAGGTGCTAGTGAGTACAAAAAGGTCATCTAGGTATTTGGGAGATAATTTCCGGATTGACAGTTGAGATAACTTTTTATTTTTCTTCTACATGTAATTCAACGAGGATGGATGGAATTCGAAGTTCTTTTTTTCCCCACAAACAGTGAAACCTTTCCGTCGATCCAAACCTATAATAAATACCAAAGCCGTTGCACTTTCCCAAAGCCACTGTTACATCTAGATCTACTTATCCAAATAATCTCGTTAATGGCCGTTCGTAAAACTATCTACATACACGGCTGTATGTATCTGTATGTCCATAACTAATGGCCAAATTATTTCAGCTTCACACCAACCTACCAGCCCGCCAGGACGCACCCCCTCATGGCCAGATGGACTGGCCTGATATGATACTAGTTGAACTTTGTGCAGAAACGAGACAACTCTAAGCTCTACGTCACTTCCCCCGTCTCATTGGCCGAGTGTTTTCTTATTCTGAAAAATACTCAATTGAGTACATATTCCTGTAAGCCATCGGTCGTTCTTGCTTAAATCAGTTGGGGAAATCAGTTCAATTAGTAACCGATGGTCATAATGGTGGCCTTGCGCTGCTAAACATTGCCAAGTCTCATGTGTCAAGAATTCTGTGGCTTACGAGCCTTGTACTACCATGTCTCGTATCAGCACACTCGAGTCAATAGCTTTGATTTAGGAATAATTACATACTGTGAAGAAATAGAAGCATCGAGATCTTTTCGTTGGAAAGATGCCTAATGAAAATCAAACAAGCTCAAATGAACACCTACTCATATTCCAGCTATCTAACTAAGCTACCCATAGAAGATCGAAGCTCTACATGTATATCTAGCAAAAAATGCGCACCTAATTACCCCGCAGAAACTGTGCGTCTACAAACCTCCTGTCCTTGCTTACCCCGCACAGAGTCTATGCTGACAGATATTAGAACTATGGAAGATGGTTGGCTATTCTTATCTAGACGGACGGAATATTTTCACTATTATGTGGTATCAATGTCTCTGATATGGTTCGTTGGCGGCTAGCTGGCATATCGCGGATGCGGGTAGAAATATCCATGGCAGGTTGAGCAGGGAGAGGTCTCAGCTGGTCATGCGTATGTGCCTAAAGTGTTTCACTTTTGATAGGCCGATGGTTTTATTGAGTTTTTGTTTGGGCTGACTCGACGCGCCCCTTTTCTCCCGTCGACAATGAACTATGCGCCTCTTGTGGCTGATGGGGCCGGTGTTATCACCGTGGGCTTTTCGTATTTTCTTCAGACAAGATATGCTGTCTTAAAATTATATAGTGAAAGCTTTCGATAAGAAATTTGGTACCTTTATAGGACGTTTACCTTTACAGAAAGAGTTCCAGTGCTGAAAGTCGAAGAAGAAGGACCAAAAGGTATTGCCCTTATAGAGAGATTAATCTTATAGCGTTAAGCTTTCGCTGCAATGGTGCAGTTGTAGCCTTAACTTTTAGGCGTTGAAGATATACGAGGCAGGCTTTACACCCATTAGGTGATTACACATATATCTAAGTTACCTAGATTTCTGGCGAGTTAATTTGTGGTATTATGAAGTTTTCGGATCGGTACTATAGACTCACATACCGCAAGTACCACTAGAGGAGTCCAGACAGTGGCAGATATATTCAACACTAGCATTATATATTCTCGATAGTCTCATATCGTTGGCCAGTTCCAAATAAACCGGTATGTCTAAAATCTTACTCGACAAACCCATCACCCACACATCGCAACACAGTGTGGCGTTCCCGTCCATATTCTGCTACCGACTGTAAGAGCCCGCGCCAAGAAACCACCAGAAACCTCACATCTTGAGAGTAAGGAGATCCTCGGTGTTTGTATGTAGAGAGACCATAAGATTGCACCGCATTCATATCTCCTGAGATACCAGAAAACAATCCAGGATCACATCGTATATACCTCGGCCGGGGAGCCACAAAATCAACACTTGGTAGGCAAAGAAACTCGAGTGATATCCTATGACTATCGCCATCAGACCGTGGATGAGATGAATGTTGGTAGATCGCGTTACAAACCCCGTGGTCCCATTATACCACCACACACATTACCTTTTAGTGTGACCTGTTCGATTCTGCAGTCAGGTAGCTCTGAGTTTGAGGATATACTAGCCTAGGCCCTAGGCTGAGTTACACGACGCATACAGGCGCAACATTCATGATCCATGATCTCCTCGTGAAGGTACGCATTGATGCAATCAGGCTGTAGACACAGTATTTAAGAAGTCTCTATAGATAGATCAATGAGTGGAATAAACTGTGAGGACAAACTTGGTGTATAGGAGTCGTCGGGTGAGATATCATTCTTCGAGTGATATTCCATGATTCAACTTCCCACTGATTGATTCGTCTGTTTATTCCATGTGCAGCATTGAGCTTTGTATAGAGTTGATTAAGTTTACTTGGCTATTGCAGTTAGTATCTTTTTACACAGTATAAAGAAAGCATCTAGTTTATCTAAACTCTAATACACTTACAATTTACAACAACACGACACGCCCAATCTTTTGTGTAGTCTTCTAAGCTAGAGTATGTAACCTGTAGTAGTAGGCTCAACTTTGCTTCTGGAAACTCCCGTTATGTCCGCTGAGGATGCGGTCCCCAAACTATGAGTGAATAAGACTGTGCACTGGGGTACCTCCTACCACAGACTTCGGCACCGCAGATTTCGGCTTTGACCAAGGCTGGAACTCTTCCATTGAACCAAAAATATTCGCTTGCAGTAAAAACTTCAGTCAAAAGCTTAATTAAGCCAGCCCAACCTGCATAAAGGCGGGACCTGCCTTCAATAAGCCGAAAGCTCGGACCTAAAGCTCAAGCTTGCTCGGCTCATGGACCACACTATGACCACCTTGATGCGAGTAGGTAGTTGAGAGGTGATTCTAGATTCCTAGTCCTAGGCCAGAACTGCGTGCGGTATTTAAGGGTTAACATGCAAGCAATAGCAATATTCCAAGGACGACACTATGTGTCTTAGCGCTCGAGTGATAGATCATGATTGACTCACCACGCTTTGTTTTCTTTTTGTTTAATTCATTAATTGCCTCACCGCGCTGATCTGTAGAAAGAGCATATGCATACATACGGGTTAATATACAGTATCCGGACGTTACGGAGATTATGTGTCAATGAGAATATCTTATATCCAGCCAATCGTTGTTCTAATGGTCAAAATATCGGTTTTAATCTCAACCCCGGACTTTGTAACGGCAGCTATTTGCCCTCAGTTATTGGCCAACCTGACCTGACTTATCGAATGTCGGCTTCTAAGCCAAAGATGACATTCAACTCAAAAATGGTTCCAAATCTTAAAGCTGTACCAGTGAAGAAAACACCTCTTTTGATCGGGACGGGGGTGTCTGTCTGATTCCTGGCTCGAACTCGCTGTTTTTATACGGCGGTACTGTATTAGCCCAGAAAGAATGACTTTGGATTAGAGAGCCTTCCCCATAAATGCTATTTCATATGATGTCAACGGCCAGGCGAAATAAAGTAGTAGCCCGGTCAAACGGTCTGATGGCCTAGGCTGACGTTGTTTAACCTGAGACGCCTCCGGTGAAAGCCGGCCTGTTGCAAAGCCTTCTTAAATAACTGCAGGAGACAAATGTTGGATTATATATATACCACAGTCGATCCGGCCCGGGAATTCTGGCATCCCGCCAAACGACACGGCTGTCAAAGGAGAGTTTTGGCGCTAGAGAGTGCACGTGCGGGGTTGACTGCGGATGCGGCGGACGATTAACAAAGAGTAATCGCACATGTATCTACAGTACCGGAAATGGGTAGAAATCCACTATCCTATTCTAGTCAATACGCTAGTGATGCTGTAAGAATACGGTATTGATACGGTATCGATATGGTATTCTACTTACGATGCTGGTTTAAACCAGTATTCTTGACTCAATACCGTAGCCCCACGGTAGCAATTTTACCCCCATTTCCGAGACTGTAGATATAAGAACAGTGTATCTCTAGAACAATTCAAGTAACAGTGATGACATAAGCTTTTAACGTCAGTGGGATAATATACACATACCCGGGTGTGCTCGAGATCAAGCTGGCCATCTGAATGTGCATTATATGCCGTTGTGAGATTCTCGGGTTCCTATGACCGGAGATGGATTTCTTTCACAAATAAAGCCAAGGTAGTAAGTCGTTCGTGTCGGTAAACATCTCCGGCTAGCACTCACAGCGGGTTTTGGAGTAGAGTACGGACGTACGTTGTAAATGTGGTTGACTGTATACTACGTATACCGTAGCAAACTTAGGCAGGTACGCAATCTACAACCTACACTACTTGAATACCATCCATGGATGTAGTCCGCGTGGCCCAAGGCCGTCTCTACAATTGTACAATTGCAAGTGTTGTAACGTTTGCTTAATTCATACGTGTTACTAGCACTACCGAAGACCGGCGGAATAACTGCATAAGGGAATTATTTTTGCTGGTTGAATGTATTATTAAACAGCCCCTCGATTAATAGGGCTTTTGTTTGAATAATGGTTCTGATGTACCTCATCAAAGGGCTAAAGAGAGTTGGGGAATACTTTTAAAAAATAATTTTTGTCCATTCGGTACTCACTATATGATGAAACAGTTATTCTCCTATGTACTCAGCATGATGCTGATAATCTTGATTGATTGATGGTGATGATCACGACTATGACTTGGTGTTGCTAATCTTATTCCCCTGTCATGAAGTGTTACTCTCATTAGCTGTCACGCCTGGGTGTGACAGAGGAGACCTAGAGGCAGTGATGCGGCACCCCTACAGTACTATTAAAAATTATTGATTATCAAAAATGCAGCTTTAAGTCGGTATTTCTCGAAAATCGACATTGCTTGGCAAAATGCGCATAGACCCAGCATTTCTGCGGTATTCCTACGGCACGAATCACGCCCCATTTTTTGCTACTGTATATAATTAACCGCACTCTCCGGCCCGCCTATTGGGGCACGATATCAATAACATCTCTTATCTCTTCCGATACTAGTAATAGACGGCGTATCCTTTCGAATTATGTATACAACCGGAGGCCCCGCATGTCTAGCGGTATCGTGTACGGCGGGACACGAGTGATGGCCCATGCACAACAGGTGACGCAAGAACAACAACCATATCAACACCGCAACAACCACAAAGCTTGTGGTTGTACCTTCCCGGTCTCGATGCGGGTACATCTCCAAGGTCTTCGACAAGCGCGCACCCACACAGCGAGTCAACTGCAATCCCCACGATGTTGTTGAGCTGAAGACTAACCAGATACAGCATCGATTCTTGGCATCAGACAAAGCCGCGAGTGATGCTGCGTGATTTCTACACCAGCGCCGGGAGATCGACATTCGATGTTCTTGGCACACGGGGAAACCATACCTGAGCTCCACTCTCAAACCTCGATACTCGCCAGCCCACGCACATAACGAGATATCTAGAGGAGAGATCTAAAGGCATGTGGTCGGGTATACATACAAATGCTCTCAAACCCACCGGAGGCTGGCACCAACGCCCCCCCCCCCCCCGGGGGGCAGGGAGCGTACAAAACACCAAGCACACATACACTTGAGCAATTGGTTATAGTGCTGGCAGAAAGGGCGTTGATTACTAGCGAGGAATACGTTAAGAGCTCGGTATCCGTAGGACATTCTTCGTGTAATGCCGGTCGTATTCTTTACTAACCTCTATGCTTTCGCCCCATGTCTTGTCCAACTGCGATTTTCCAACTGTCATATAGTTTGAACCCTCCCCCCGGGAACACAACTCAACAGCCTCTAGGAAACAGTTGGTTCTGACAGAATTGTGCGCATAACTACAGTAGCATTCTACCTAGGTATTCTAGGTCTGCTGGCCGGTGTTGCAACCCGCCCTGGACGCCACACCCCGCGGTATGGAGCCTCAATGGCACTGGTCTATCCCATAAACCGTCGAAACCATGCTGACAACCCCTTCGATAAATGCCAAGAGGTGGCTAGAGCCAATGGGGTTTGTCGTTTTGTTGATCTTTTACCCAATTGTGCTGTGGCTTTCGGTCTCACATGAGCTGTGCGCACGGACCGTCCTGGGACACCAAGTCTGGCACCCTAACCCTAACATTGTCACCCCTCCTTCAATCCCTTCGTCTGTTCCCGCGAATCACAACTTCTTAGCTTCTGGACGGCGCTGTGATATTCAGTGAACTAGCTGTGATTAGGAATGTAACGCTCCCAAAAGAGAACGAACTCGTTCAAAAAAACGAAAAGATCTGGTGGCGAACGTGACTTTCGCACCAAAGAGGTTCACGGAGTCAGGATTAGGTCTATTGGTGGAGGATTTACAAGAGGTTTTGCTTGACCAGCTTAGTCTCCCTACATAGCGCCCGGTCCTGAATACAGACGAAGGGATATACCGGATTATGGGATACTCTGTACATAGGTACTCCAATCTAATCCTACTACACGAAGCAGCAAGCTGCGAAATTTTAACACCTCCAAGGATAATAATATTATCAATGCAGCAATTTACTGCCTACCCGGCGGAGATTTTTCAAGGGAATAAGAATGGTGGCTGATTACTAATATCACTGATGGTGCTCGCTGGTGGCCGGTGCCAGTGTGACGCCTATGCGTGATGCCAAGTCTACTATTTATAAGGGGCCTATCATAATTGCGCTCTCCCGAACTTCCATCCTTACCAAACTTCCAGCGTTCGGAGGAACGGAACCTGTTTTTCGCTAACAAATACCTCTCTAAGTTCCATCCCTGCGATACTTCCAGGCCCCACGGGAGGGGAGGGGGTGGTGGAACTATGGTAGAAATAAAACGTAACGTGAACGTGGCGTGACAGAAATTCCAGGTCAGTCACGCACCATAGGAATATGCATACACTACCAGTTTTCCTTGGCTTTTTCTACCACCACTTTGCTTTAGATTCACCTCGCGTCCCGGTCACGGTCCACCCTTCCCGTACAGCACCCAGCCCTCCGCCCTCCGACCAGCGCCTACATGTATTCACCGTCACCTAGAGATTCTATGGGTATAAAGCAAAAAATAAAGAGGTTTGCGCATATCTAACTATACACCTGTATATTCCCCGTTCAATTCAGCAGATTATTCGGGACAGGAGGTAAGCTTCTATGTGAAATTCAGACGCGATTGGCAAGGGCAAGCTGAAAAGATAATTAAAGGGTATGACAATTTACTGTGCGGGCCAGTGCCTACTGTACCCAGTGTGCCGATCGTTGTCGATTTTACATGCATGGACATGCATGGACATGTACTAACTTCCTAACGTTTTTGAACGCGACTGATATTGCATACCATACAAAAATACGCCAAGACCCTGATTTTGGGTGTGTGCAATAGTGGCCCAGTCCAAAAACGCCAGGAAACTACGAGTATGAGCATTCATGAGCATGCATGATTCCAGCACTGCATGACGCGAAAACGTGTCGCCGCTGCACAGTCACACATAAGTATAGCGAATCACTAGCTAGAGCACCCCATCTTTGTCATGCATTTCGGGCCTGTTCCTAGGTGTACGTGCTTTCCCCCCGAAAAGATGATTCCTCATTCATTTCTTATATAGATCGTTGGCAGGCACTTCTGGCGTCTCGCCACGCAACTTCCAAGGTATATATTGCACGAGTTTGCAAGTCCCATAACGCTCATTTATCTTGGAGATATTGAAACAAATCTATATCATTAGTTTCGCGCTCTTTTGCAAGTTTTTCTCCCTTTTCAATATTCTTAATACTTGGCTAACCTGTATACGTACTGCACAGCTTCGATAAAATCTTGTTACGATATCAGAATTCCGGTATATCTTAGCAACAATAATCACACATCGTTATCGTATACTGCCCAGCTCTGTTATAGCCTGTCTATCAAGCACAGATGTTCACAGCCGTCAAGGAGCCCTTTTAACATCGCTCATCGAGTTATGTTAGCTCTTAGCTTGGTTTCAAGGATAGGAGAAGTCCTCGCGGTGGGCTTTCGTTGTCTATTTAACCTCTGCCCCCCCCAATTTTCTCTGTTATTTTTTAGACTTGAAAATAACCAACAACCACATCACATGCGGCAGACACACCCAGGGTAAGATTTTGAGCGTACTTACTCGCGCATTCATCAAATGGTCGGATATCGTTGCAACCAAACCTCTACTAAGAATTCCGACCATTTAATGAACACAGGAGTAATCGGCATCCGTCAATATGACTGCTGTATTACTTATCCAACCAGTAGCAGGCACTTCTCCAACCCAGTTTCTTGTCGTGGAGACAGCAAAGGTATATATCCCCGAAACTCCTCTGAATCTAAACGCTTAACCGGTACCTAGTTTGTTTTGAGATCCGAGACTTAGGCTCCGGCACGTATCTCAAAAGTTCAGACGAAAGCTCATCATTCCTAATAGAGATCTCGAATAAAATCCCGAACACGATCCCGAACAGCAATCCCGAAGGCAACCGCGAGCGCCAAGCCCGAAGCCGATTCAACGGCTCGGAATAGTTTGCTTATTAACAATCCTAACACAGGCTTGGCCAATAACAGATCATCCAATCGTAACACTTCAACATGGATATGAAAGTGATACGTGTACAAATTCTAATTGTCGGACGTACTACATTTCTCACCAAACTCAGACAGACAAGGCCGGCTATTAGCTGGAAGATGGCTTGAAATTTGCCTATCACATAGCTACGATCGACAAGACACTTCTATATGCAATGCAGACCTTGTACTCGTATTTTCCTGACGTTTGTGGACGCGACTGATATTGCATGCCATACAAAAATACGCCAAGCTCATGATTTTGGGTGTATGCAATAATGGCCCAGTTCAAAAACGTCAGGAAGATACTAGTATTTGATACTATCAGATGATAGTGTATCGGCGTATCACACCGAAAACTCACTTGTTCAGAAATACTTTTTCCTGGTGCCATACGGCAAACGTACCCTTATGCAACCTCTACTCCGGAGAGTAATCTACGCCCCCACCAGCCAAGGAATTAACAATTTATTTTCCATTCAACAAGGAAAGATGAACAGGTCATGGGGCTTTCTCGGATGAAGTGATTGGGTTGAAGCTGTGCCGACTTTCGATGCGGTCGATAAAGCCTGTTTTTACTAGAGAATGGAGCGTACCGCTACTATTTCACAAAATTACCTATATTTTCACTTTAATATCCATACTAGGATTCGACACCCTCATTGCTGAGTTCCCTCCAGATCACGACGAGTCACACTGGACATGTTCAGCGTCCGCCCTTACAATTACACAGCATAACCGACTCGGCATTTCACTTTGCGCTTAAAACTAATATCAGTTACTGAGTTCCGCGGTTGCTGAGACCTCGAGGGCTTGCATTAGTAGTAGTGACATGGCCAAAAATTGCAGGAGAGAAGAGGTCGAGACTGAGTTGGTTGAGGTGATTTATGGTACAGAAGACTGTTGGAACATATGAGAGGTTGAAGGAGTGGCCGCCTCCTCTTAGAATAACATGATAGGCCTCCTATTGTCCGAGGACTTGAGGCTCGGCCAAACTCAGCTTTGAGGAGGAGCGGTTGTCTCGGCCTCATCTATATATATTCGGCAAAGAAAAGCCCATATCTCTCTCTATTCACCATTCTAATTGTACTTTTTGCTACTCAATATTAAAAACGACGAGCTTTTATACTTCCGATATGCATCCCAATTGTGCCAGCGTTGCCGGTAATTCTAGAGCACAAGACTCCCCTCTCAGTGAGAGTATGTGCACCTCTGTTTCATACAAAACAACAAGCTCTCAGGAGGCATCCACTGTCGGGTACCTTCGGGTCGATGCCAATGAACCTTCAAGAAGTACTGAATTCTTAGCACATCCCCACAAGTAAGCTCCGGTATTCCCAATCAATCTTTTATATATATCTTACAAATACATCAGTCATTGTACCTTTGGATCGCTATGCTCTAGCGGACCACCACCCATTACAACCCCACACAGCTTACCAGCCCACCGCACGGCGTGCACATCCTTCAGCGGGCACTTGGAACAGAATGAGCAGTGGATAGAAAATCCTGAGGAGTACCAGCATTTGGAGACTTCCGGTAGTAGCAGGTAAGTTCATTTTTCAAAATTATTGTTCTAGTCCAAGCTAAGGTTTTATTACAAAAAGCAGTACTACACTATTATCTCAGGAATTACAATTTGAACCCGCCGGTCCACGTTTTTCGAACTCTGTATGGATGTACGAAGATGATCAACGGCTCGACTATTGGGTCGACCCTTTGGCAACACAAACACTCAGCATTGGCCATGGAAACGACAGGGAGGATGTTATCACAGTGCTCTATAGAGCTCAAACCATAACCGATGAACCGCAGTGCAACCCCCCTCCTCCGGTTGACCCAAGCCGTTTTCATAATAGGCCAGCCCAATCTCTCAATCCATACGCCTTTCAGATGTTGCTAGGTTATCATGGAGAGAGAAATGATGAAGGCCGTTTTGAGTGTTTTGGAGATTGCCACAAGGGTCGCCTTGGCCGCCTTGGTTTTGAAAGAAGGAGCAACCTACTTGTCCATCTCAGAAGTTGCCATGGACAAAACATACTGAAATATGATCGTGAAGAGAGCCAGAAGATTAGAGCTATGCACAAACGAATGCTGTTGGCAGGTGCTAATGAGTAGCAAAGGATAATCTCGAGATCTGGGGATGCGAAGATTTTGGGACGACAGTTATGACCATTTTTTCTGTTTCTTATGCATGTAACTAGTAGGATGGGTGGAATTGGAGACTCTTTTTTTACACGAACCGCAAACTCTTCGCGATCTCCCGGTCTAAAATCTATCTCTGTCTGATAAATACGTTCGATTTACCAAAATCACTATATTATTATTATATCTGATCTAGAGTTATCCAAATTAGCTCGACAATGACCGTTTTATGATAAAATTTAAAACTACACGTACTTACGTACTTGTTGATCATCTCCTATCCGGATTATTTCTACAGTTCTTCAATCACGCCCATCCGGCTCGAGATACCTATATCAATAGTGCATGCATCGCCGTCGAGCCGCATTCCCATGGACTCAGCTGAGCCATTTGCGGCGAGGAGGCTCGCTTGAATTCTGCGTCACTGCTCTTTTTTCTGCAAAACACTTAATTGAGCTCGAATCAGTCGGTGGCATGCGCAGTTATCTTGTGGAGCTCCCAGTAGGAGGAGAGAAAGGACCTAGCTGCGCAAAGTCTAAATACGGTAATAGTGCTGCATGTAATGAGAAGAATTCTGTGTTAAACTACATAATCTTGTATTTTCTGAAGCATGTATTCTAACAACATTCTCTCAACTCCAATACCCTTAGTAAATATTTCCTAAGTCGATACCTAAGATACTTGTGTGCTTTCCCATCTAAAATCTTATCCTCGTACTGTGGTATTCCCTCCCTACCGTGGTGGTCCTAACAGCTTTAGAGACAAGTACCCATGGAAGAAAAATGTAATTACCCCGCTGGAAATGTGCAGCAAATGTGTAGAAATGCGGGCGATGGTTGGCTATTCTTATCTAGACTGATACCGGAGTATTGCATGAGATACATGTAGGTCTCTTACTTGACTACTCGTAATTTCATAGCGTTTGTGAACATAGCTGGGTCTGCTGCATACACCAAAATCTGGAGCCTCATGCAGGATTTTGCGGGTATGCAACCGAGTAGCGGGACATTCGTCCAGCAATTAACATACTGTTAATGGCTAAATTAGGTCACAAGATGTTATGGGAATCTTCGATGTTTTAACTTGCAACTAAAAGATACATAGGTTGTAGAGAAGAATAAGAAGAAGAGTGATATGGCTGGGGACACCTTGAACCAGAGTGGTTTCGGGAGTCAACTTCAACCGCTAATGAATTTCCCCAACCACACTCTAATTTATTTTTCTCTCTGTTATTCAATCGTTCTTATTCTCCTCTACAATATGACAGAGCCTGATTAATTCTATCTTTCGTTGTGGTGGTGCTATGAATTTTCTAAAAGTTGGACTTTTGGTGGGGGACCCAAGCAATGTCGCACCCATAATTCCCTATTCGGGCCAGATTAATTACCCAATTGGGAAAGCTATAGTCCAAATTGAGTAGAAGTTCCTCCTCTGAGAGCGCCAAGGGATAATCTTGGCAAATTACTTGCAGTAAAATTATTAAATAATTACCCGATTGGGAAATTGATCGCCAGAAACCAATGTCGCGACACTCCGGTTCAAGGTGTCCCCAGCCATATTAGCCGACCACACTCTCGGCCCCCACGTACAAAGAGGTGTTTCGAAAACTTTAGTAGTCTATGAGGCTCCTCGAGGCGAGCAGAGCGCCTCGAGGTGCCTCTGCCTCGTATAGTCTATGCCTTTGCTCGTTCGTGCAAAGAGAGGTACTATATGTACTACATAGGTAGGTATAATGACTATTGATTCTATTGATGAGGGAGGAAGAGTCCTCCTAGTCTCGTTCCCATACTGTGCACCGTGTTACGTACCAGTACACAGTTGATCTGGTGTAATAGGTTCTCGGGGATTCTCTGAACTTTCCCCGAAAGATGTCCGAGTGACTCGGGAGGCTCTCAGAGAGTTTGGGGTTCGGCTAGTTCGGGCTGAGCCCAGACAAAATACTCCCGAAAAGCCACTCCGAAAACCCCGGGCCTCCAATGCTAATATGCCCGAGAAAATGGGTCGCCAAACGAGGAGGGCCCATTACACCAGACTGTGCCGGTATCGGGACAAGAGACCAGAGCCCTCTGCTCTTGTCCTAACTTAATGATACGTGTTGGCTTATTGCCAAGACTCGATTGCACTATCGCTGTGAACATAAGTACTTACATCTCATTCTTCTAGATCATGGATGTAGATCCCGCCTCCTCGAGGCAGATAATTACTGCTATTGGAGGTATACTTTACCGCCCGAAGGGGTAAAAAAAATAAGACTTATATATGTCTTAAATAAGGCTTGTTTAACCGTTTACGCTCGCATATTGCTTATTCTGTTTTTACGTCTCCAATAGTCAACTCGCGGCGTTAAGCATTATCCTTAATAAGGATTATCTTGTATTTTAAGGGTTTTTTTTGGAATAAGGTATCTCAAAAAATAAGTATTGTATAGGACTTAATCGTGAAGCATTCTCTTACATGGACATACCTTGTTTTACCCTTATGGCGAAATTATATTTTACAAAATTAAGTGTGTAATGATTTTATTTCGTGTATACCTTTCGATTAAAAAATGATTAATTGCTCCTTATTGGTAAATAAGGCCTACACTAGCATTATTGGTGAATAAGCCTTGCTAGTGAATACGGCTGGTGCTAGCATTACTGGTGAATATGCCTTACTAGTGAATACGGCTGATGCTGGCATTTCTGGTGAATATGCCTTATGCTAGAATTACTAGTGAATACGGCTGGTACTAGCATTACTAATACTAATCGTACAGTACCCCCTCCTTCTTCGGTGCACCCTATACCCCTATTGCGTACCACACCCACCCACCTATGTGCACCTCCCGATTAGCAGAAATTAACGCCCCAATTGCACCACCAAAAGCGCCTACCTGCCAACGACGATTCTGAAGAATCAAAAGGCAGGATATAGAGATGTTTTGACGCTACTGCGGTAGTCCGTACACTGCTCTCCGATTGGTTGATTTGAGCACTGGAAGCAACGATATTTCGTCCAAAACACCAGTGTACAAGAAGTCGAAGAAATATCTCACAGTAAAGGAGCTAACCAATACACTTAGAACATTGTAGGTGGGGTTACCTCCTTATATCCTATCCCATTCAGGACAGATGCCCACACATCCGGACCCGACCATTATCTCGATTCCGTTCCTCTCCCGCACCACCATCGACTAGTTAATGGCCAGCAGGCTCTTATATTCGTCAGCTCTAGGAACTCGGGTTTTCTGTTGCGCTCGTTTCCTTTCACATGGTGCTGAATCGACTGTGTTTTCACTCTCTGTGGCGGCAACTATGTGTAGTTGGGTGTTTCTTGTACTGCCGTTTCGTTTTTCCGAGGATGGAAGTGTCTCTTTATCACTATAGCTACCACTGTGTTCTTTTCTTTTCTTGGAGAATAGAATGACCATATCCATCGGATCCTGAGGACCTGATCGAACCTTACTTCAATTTCTCCCTATGGCATTATCCGTGATGGAACTCTCGGGGGTGGGGGGCTCGGGGTTTGCATGCTTCTGGTCATTTGGTAACATACATGCAGAAAAAAAAAGAAGAAAACCGTTGAAAAAGAGTCGTTAAGTACCGTTGTACAAGCTTAACTCTCTGGCTAGATCTTTCTCCTGGAGACTTGGCTTCGTACTTGTGGATCTCGAGGCCACCTCCCGAAACCTCGAGACCGGGAAATTTAAGGCCAGGGTTAAGCAAAACTGAGCGGCCTCCATACCAGTCTCCATTCTTGGCTCGAGCGGCCTCGTGAGCTACACTACGCCGGATATCTCAGTACCGAGCTAGAGGATGGCCTGGATAGGAATGAACAGGACTCGATAGGGCGGAATGGGCGGGGCGAACTGGACTGGGCTGAGTAGAAAATTAGCCAACCCCAAATACTAAAGGCAGTGATTGTGGGCCTGCGTCTCCTATCAGTCGCAGAGAACAATACAGTTTCATGAACACACCTAGCTAGTTGATTCGTTTAATCAAGTCTATATAAGCTACTCAGCCCGGATGACGTTTTGATAAACCGCGATGCTATGCGTGCCTTTCTGTACTACGATCTTAGAGATGAAAGCCTCATTTTAAAATTTGTCTTACTCCGTTTACTGATTTGTGAGATTCGATAGCTAGATGTAGATACTTGGTCGATCCTGCTCAGGACTATGCACAACATGCAACGCCTGCCAAAGTCCGGAGGTTTGTCTGTACTTAGCGCCCAGCTATAGAAACCCAAGTCTCCGGCTGGCACAGCCAACCTGATTAGAAAATCATACCATTCACGATATGTATGATCCGGCTAGCTCGGGATGTCCGTGACTGATACATACATACATATACAGCCACTCAGTAAAAGTGTTCGTGATTTATTTTTAATGTCAGTGCGCAGTGTGGCGCACCCGTAATGTTGATGTTGTTAATGTTGAGATTCAAAACAACGAAAAGTATATAATATAGTTCGTGACTATACATAAAAGAAGGGAGGTCATTGATCTTATTCTTCATTGATTCCGGGCGTCATTGATCACGGGGAAAGTCTTCTCTTGGGGTTTTTTGGATGGTCCGCCACGGTTACCTATATGGAGAAATACCTCACTCCGAAATCGGAATCACGAACACTTTTACAGAGTGGCTTTACATACCAGTTCAGGGCAACTCTAATCAAGAAGATCGATCTGTCCCTGGCCAGGTTAGGGTATATAATAGAACAGATGTATCTTCAGCACCGAATAATAGGATTATTGCAAAAATCTGGATCAAATCTTATTGGCCCATCCAGGAGTACAAATATTGTTTTTAAAATCTTATCTTTACAACACGTCTACGTTTAATTTGCTTTAATATTAGGGAGTTTTTGCAACGAAGTTATGATTTTAAATTCGGGAAATTGGGAACGGCATAAACGGAGTTTAAGAGGGGTAAAACTCCATTAAAACTGAAAATACAGTTAGGAGAAAAGTTGACGCGTTTGGCATGCCA